AAGCATGCGGAAGTCATTCACTTTCTATTGGGAGCCAGGCGGAAAAAGCGGAGAAAGCGGAAAAGGCGTAGCGGAGCGGATCGAGCGGACAAGGCGGGAAAAAAAAGTTAAAAATGTTTTAACTTTTTATGACGCGCCAGAGCGCACAAAGCGGATAGCCATGCAATAACCAATGGCAGATGCTGCCGGTCCATAGTAGTATCACCTTGCCCCACGTCTTCACTTCCCTCAGCCCTTTTGGCTGATGACGTAACGAGCCATACGTCGCCACGGACCGCCACCTTGGAGCGCGGAGGGAAAGGTGGCGGGGGAGGCAGCGGGGGATTTAAGATGAAACGCAACCTTGCCCTCGGGAGGCGTCGGCTACATTAGTCTCCCCCGCAGCCGTCGGCGTTATAGCCGGCAATGGCGTAAACGTGCATATTGCATGGTGCGGTGACTATCCACCTCGAGTCGACCATCGTTGTCTCACTCGGCTCCCTCAGCCCCCGAGGTTCCATCGTCACCAGAGTTCACTTCAGTACTTTACAGACAATGGAACCGAGCACTGTATGACTGGCGACGGGGGCATTCGCGGAGGGCAATCGTGAACAGAGGCATGTTGAACGAACTAAATGAAACGCACAGCCTAGATCTGCGCTTACTACCTTGGTCAAGTGGCGCCTCCCACGCGAAACAACACCGGCGTAACTTGGGTTCCCTACCAACCATTCGTTCCGAAATGGCGCCGTCCGGGGCGGACAGGGCGGCCTTGCAACTGTCCGCCTTTCCTGACACTTTGGTCTCGAACGACAGTATCTCCCCTCTCTCGTGAAAGAAAATTGGGCATTTCTCCAGTTCACAATGACCCCAACAAGACAGTAAACATCAGAGCGTCTCTCCTCTGTCTGTCTGTATTGTTTGATCATTACTGTAAGATGACCCAATTCTCAAGGGTTCTACTTTCAGCTAACTGTATTCTTACAATGTTATTACATGTTTAAATATAGTCTGATAAATGCACCCGAAGTTCTACTAACTGTAGCTATTAGCACTGGATGCTCATGTGGCTTACATTTCCATGTATTGGTACTATATGCTAAAAACTCCAGTCCTGTACTTTTTAGTCCTGTTAGGAAAAACGGCTAATCTTCCATTTAGAAACCTTGCAGAAAAGAAATGGCCAGGAGATGAACAATTACACCGTGTGAATAGTTGAAACACGTGTGTCGCTTATTAGAGACAGTTGCGCTGAAAAAAGAAGAAAATTTACGTTGGAAAAGTTACAACATGAAATGACAAGAATTCAGGTACAATGGCCCAAACAGAAAGAAACAATAACGATCAAGCATAAGATTTATTAATTCCACCTGCGGCGACGGAATTTGCTTGTACCAGCTCAAGACCGTACAACCACCAAATAGATTACGGAACGAAGTAGCACTGCTAACAAAAACAATAAGACATGGTGAAACGTCTAAACTGATATTCCATACCATCAACAAGAAGAACGGTCCCTGTTGCAAGTAAGAAAACTACATACATAAGATGCTCGAGTTACAGTGGTTTTCTGTGCAATATACAGTCTAGGTATATAGAAAACGAGTTTATTCCATATAAATCTCCTTCTAAACATGCAGTAACAACGAACTCACAGTGTTCTTACTGTTACAGAAACTTTAACTCTATGTAGACTTTTACTCCATGGTTTGAAAAGTTTTTCTTTTTTCCATTAGCATTTCTTAAAGTTGTTTACCATTTAAATAAAAAACAACAATAGAAACTACAACTATACAATAGAACATAGAAAAATAAATTATGTGTCACCACTATGCTAAGCTGATTCTTGACGCACCAGGTACACCAATGCATGATATTGAGCACCCCCTCTTATAAGTTTCACATACAGTATTGCCCCTTCGGAGAAGCAGACAAGGGGAGTACCAGCAAGTGGAAGCTACTGTAACTGCTGCGGGAATAATTCATTTAATTCAAGTTCAAATTTTATTTGTATTAGCGCCAATTCAGTAACAAGTTATCCAGGACACTTTTCAATAGAGCACGGTCCTAGGACCGAACACCTGTTAACATTTACAGAGACCCAACAGTGAGCCACCATGCAGCAAGGCACTTGGCGACGGGGCAGGAAAAACTGCTTTTTAATCAGGGCAGAAACAGCCTAGGAAGACCCCTACGCTCTATGGTGGCGTGGGCTCGATCTGCCATTTGACCACCTATACAGGCTATAAAAGTGGTTCCCACATGTCGAGTTTTCGCTTGTTCTGTTCCCTACGCACCACCATGTTAAATATTAATTATTGTCTCGTCTGCGGCCGTCTGTGGACAAAAACGGTAGTGTTTATAAAGCCTTGTTAATTTCAAGGGGAATCTGACCGAATCTGACCAGATGGCAGGCATTATTATGTAGGTATTTATGATTATACCCTAATGAAAATATACCTATGAATATTATATTCCATTTCTGACAGTAGATCCTCCTAAAAGTTACACACTGGACCTTTAAGTTGAGACTGTTTCTATAAAAAAAAGTCATCAATTTGACCTTTGTTCATTTTATTTTTATAAATATCACCATTTCTTTCTTTTTCTGGTAGAAATGTGTTTCCATAAATATAAGGTAAAGATACACTGCCTCATTTTGTTTTACAACTCAATAAACCTCACACATAAGTTGTAAAAACATCAGCAGCATTAAGTGACATAAAAAAGGCGACCCTACCTTTAACACATTTTGTTGGTATGTGTGTATATGGAAATGGCTGCTATTTTTGGGTCAATCATTATAGTCGATTGCTGAGGAGGTGGGGTTTGAGGGAGTGACATCTTGGACATGACTGGATTATCTCCCTGTCCCCAATCCTATCTGCAGCCAT